AGTTTATTAATTATAAAATGTGAGAAGAAATAGTAATACAGCACACATGTACACAGAATAGAAAAGAGTTAAGTCCAAAAAGATAAAAGTAACATAAAGTTATACAGATCAGTTTCTGAATTGTTCATAAAGATCAGATGTGAATACATTACAGCCGTAATTGGATAGCATGTTAATATTGATGTGGGCAGCTGAGCAGTCAATCACAAGATTCTTGGTTCTGTAGGTTGAATGAGATTCCTTTATCATGATTCCTTTTGAATTGGCTAACAGCACTCAGAGAGAGAGAGAGATGTTCCATTTTGTTTTATTTTACCTGAAGTGCAGGGTATTTAAATGGGTGTTCTTAAAGTTGTGTCACAGCACTCAAGCCCCACACTATAGAATATTTGGCCAATAACACACACAGATGAATGTTACAGTCAGTTTTTATTTACTTTTGTTTTATATAATCCTTGAGGGAAAACAGATGTGGCTTGAGATGCAAGAGTTGGCTTTCTGCTAAGAGGGAGGATAATCGGCCCCCTCATCTCTTGAAGATTCATCTCTGTTTGAAGATTCCCTGACCTTTTACAGATACAACATTCCATTGATTTCACACAGGACTTTGCAAAATAGTCACTGAATTTACAAATGCAGTTTTTCATTCTCTGTATCAGTTCTTTTTTTAAAAAAGAATACTTATTTTGGAATTGAAAATAATGTTGATAAATACTTAGATTTCTGATTCATTGTGGAGTTGAAAGGAGAATTTGATCTTCACTTGATTCAACCAACATAATTATAAACTCAATGTTATTGGTCTTCTCCAGGTGTGCTGCTTACGGCTATCTCCCAAATTGTCGAGGCAAAAGGAGACTTTGATCTTCATTTGACTCCACAAATATTATTATAAACTTAATGTTATTGGTCTTGTCCAGTTGTGCTATCCACGGCTGTCTTCCAAATTGTTTGCTGGGGTCCAGACTATACCATAGGATCCATTTTGGCCAGGTCCCGGTGTTAACTAATTTGCAGTCCACTTTCAGTGCAGCTAAACCTAATTATTTGCAAAGCAAAAGCTAAGTCAGTTGGGATATGTTACATTAAATGTTGCTGTGAATTTTCAAGCAACTTAAACTGACAAAAAGTAAAATATATGTAAAGAAATAAAATTGTAGTTTGAGCGGTAAAAATATCAGAATACCATTTAATAGAAATTGATTTTGATTTTTTTAGAAATAGCATGTCAATAACCTTGAGGTTATTCCCCCAGCCAGGGTACTCACATTGAATTGCATTTCCTTTGATTTTCTATAAGGATATTTCTGCTGTCTGTGTCTTCACTGTTTTCATATTAGTGTTTCCCTTTCTATCCCTTTCCTTCTGTTTCTGTCTTACCTTCTGACATTGTCCCTGCAATATTTTGTTTTTCCGTCTGATTTATTTGCTCCTCTTGCCCGTTTTTTTTCCCCTTGTTCTTCTTTCCTTCTCGACAGAAGGCGTTTAGTGGCATGAAATGCCCAGGAAGAGTCAATATGGCGAGGGTTTTGAATAAATATTTGCCCATCATACTTATTTTTCCATTCCTTCCTATAATTACTTATGCTTCCACCCACCTTAACTTCCATTCTATTCCCTAAGTTTCCTTGTCCTACTGTACTCTTAATTTCTACAATATTCTTGCCATGTCCCTTCAAACTGCCTGCTTGGCTGTATGTCCTTCATTTCTCTCAATCCACTGTCAATAACCCTACTTCTAACCCCCCAGTTACTGCCACATCTTCCTGCGAAGACAAGTGGTGAGTTCAGAGACAGTACCATCTTTGTTCTACTTCTTTCTTTTCCCCATTTTACTAATAGATGCATAATTTTCAATTCTTTTATAAAATAAATCAAGCTGGAAATAAAATGTATCAATATCTGATGAAGATTATATGCCTATGTACTTACCAAGCATTTTTCTACTGTGACCCCATTGCAAGGCTTAAAATTGGTCCAACCCACTTGTGCAAATTGAGAGGTGTTGGTGTGGGAAATCCTGTTACATGCAGTGAAGTATGTCACCCACCATTCTTGTTTCATCGCACCTTAGTCAATTCTGAAAGCATGTCTAACCAGTGAAAGTATATAAATCACAGGAGTTTGCTGTTTTGTGAAATTGTTCTGTGCTATTACTGATTTGCTAATTCACAAGACCTGCCCCTCCCACCCTTTATTTTAGGCAAGTGTTAGTGTTTGTAAATATATCATAAAATGTTTTTGGAGGTGCAGAGTTTTTCTGTTCTTTGCTTTCAGCACAGTTAATTTTATAAATGAGCGTTCCATTAGTCAGCCATTGTGGCTGGATGAGATGAAAGTGTATCATCATCAAAAAGATTGCACAGGCCAGCTGATGGTATAAAAAGGAGAAAGCATGGAGGTCCAACACCATGTATGTGACCAGTAGCTATATTGATGAAAGCAAAATATTGCAGATGCTTGAAATCTGAAAATAAAAACAGAAAATGCTGGAAACTTTACAGATCTGGCAGCAGTGTGTAGAGAGAAACGGACTTAATGTTGAGTCCAGAGATGTTTTCAAGGTTTCATTGACTACTTGTTTTTTTTAAGTAAATGAGGAGGAAAAGATTCCATGCCCTGAATGTACAACTTATGTACAATAACAAACAGTGCATTTTGCCTGGTTTACTACAACTAGGGAGCAGTGTTGTTGTTCAGTGCCAAATCTCAACATCTCTCTTGCACCCGGAAAATAGGAAGTCAAGTCAGTTGACTGGGGATAAGACTTATCCCTGACCAGCTGACTTTGATTCCTGTGGTTATCAGAGCACAAATACTGTTGTCACAAGAGATGATAGAATAATTGAGCTTCTGAAAAAAGGTCTGTTTGCTTTAATGGGCTGTACAGGCCCAAATAAGCCACTGGATTTATTGTCATCTGGTTTTGCTCTGTAAATGGGCTAACCCTCAGATGTCTAAAAGAAAAAAATGCTTGAAAGTAGTATCAAGATCAGAAGAGAAATGAACATGTTAACCAAGAGAAAAGGCAAGCAACCCCACCAGCTGCTAGAATCATGTACCAGCAAGTAATCATGGAGAGGTTCAGTTGAATAATCTCCCCTTCGTACCAGTGCAAAGGTACACAGAGACACACCACATGAACATCCTGAAAATATACACTTTTTCTGGTAATGTACAAACATAATTGAAAATATTAAGGTCAGTAACTAAGTTAAGAAGACAACATCAGCGAGCTATTTGGACACTCTTAATTTCATACTTCAAAAAACAACTAACAGTTGTGAAATAATGACCACATCTATGGAAAGCTCTTTTCCTGACTTCTGTGATCTTTTACTCATTCAAAAGCTCCTACAGTGTGATTTCCCTCTAGTGTCAGCTTGGGAATTAGAAGGTTGCTGAACTTCCACTGATGTTATTTGAGATGCCAGTTCTGGGTGATCCCTTAGGAGCTGTGGCAATAGAACAGATTTCTGAATGTCAGTGTTGGCCAGGACTTAGCTGAGCTGTCTGGCTGTGACCAAGAGGACACTGGATGTAAAACTAGCAGCAGAAACAAATTGGCTATCATCCTGAGAGATGACATCATCTGCCTTGTCCTGACATCTATGACACTCCTCTGCCCATTGCTCTGTATAAGAACAGACTCACGCTTATATTACAATACTTGAAGTTCTATTCTCATTCTTCCTTACACTTTAAAAAAACAAATAATTCAAAATAAAGGCCAAGAGATCAGTAGTCAGAAGTTCCATTGGTGCTGTCAGAATGGCCACTAGGTATTGCATCATTGTGGCTCCCACTGCTGATCACTAGCTTCATCGATTACTCTATAGTTTCAGTGTTGTGTGTGTCAGGCCAGAAGTTGAGACACAAGACAATGTGAAATGTGCACCTCATTGCATTTCAAAACGTTTCAAAATGTATTTTGTATGTTACAAATTTACTGAAACAACTATTGGTTCTAAGATTTCCAGGTGAGAAATGTGTTTTAAAATATTTTGAGTGATTTCTGGATTTATTTCTGGAGAGTTCAGAATTACTGGGTGATGCAATTACAGAGTTTTTATTTTGAGTGTAGACAATTATTTTCATTAAAAATGAGTTGCAAGTTATCAATGTTTTAATTAAGTGGAAAGGGGGAAAATGTTTTTGCTTGTAGGAGTATCAATAAACAAAGAACAGATTTCAGATAATAGCTTTGAGGTGCGAGGGGGAGTGGTGGTGGGAATGCAGGAAGCTGTTTAGCATTTTCCTTAGCGCATGGCGAGTGAATTGATATGATCTCAAATGCATTGCCTGAAAAGATGGTGGTGGCAGATTCAACAGTAACTTTCAAAGGTAAATTGGATATTCACTTGAACAAGAAAATGTTGCCTTGTTAAGAAAAACAAGTGGGGATGGGGGCTAATAGGATGGCACTTTGAAAGAGTTTTCTGTGATATTATTTCATGAACTGTCTGCTGAAAATGGTGGCAACCGATATTGTTGACAAGAAGTGCAGTCTCAAGATATTTACTAACATATATGTGTAAAAATTAATCAGACAAGAGACTTGCATTCCATTTTATTGTACTTGAATTAAGTCTAGTTCCCTGACCCAATGCACCACCTATTCCTCTGCTCCAAAACATGTACATGCATTGAACACACTTTTATAAGTATAGGTCATGGTACAAATATCTGCATCATGAAACCTATAGTTGTACGTAGAATATTGAATTTGGATTATGTTGAAAAATGTTCCTTGTGTACCTAAGATTAAATTTATAGCAGGAAAAGTTTAAAAATATCATTAATTTTAAGCTGTAATATCAGTAATAAAAGCTATAATGTTAGGTAAGATTGGTAGAGACCAAGCATGAGAGTTTAAACAATGTTGGAAAGCAACTTGCTTGAATTCAATATACCTTCTATTAATAGGAAATAAATATTTGAATAGTTACTAGATATTTTGATGTCATCTCTCTAACATGTCTTTCTTTGATGAGGCTCAGGGGGGGATTTGCCCTGGTGCAGGTGTTATCGAGAAACTACAATACGCCAGTTACCTGAGTCAGCTAAAACGTATGAAGGAGCAAGCACAAGTGATTAATCAGACTATTGCAGAACTAGCGACTATGCCCTATCTGCACGAAATGAGTCAACATGAAATTGAACTGGTAAAACAACTTTCTATACATCTTCTGCAGTAAATGTTCACATATTAAAAATATGCTATTTCCAAATTCTGTGTATCACTGTGCAAAGTAATGTTAAGAACTGTTTGGTAAAAATTTATCATAGGTTGGGACATAAAACTGCAAATGACATAACCCTGTTTGGTAGTTGTTTTGACAGGGAGGGAATCTTTGGTCACTTTGGATAATGTTTGTGAACTTAGTTGGGTATCCATATCACTGTAGCACTATCCACATTCTAACCATTCTCTGAGTAAAGAAGCTTTCCTGAATTCTCTATCAGATTTGTTAGCGACTATCCACTTTTTAAAGCTTCAAGTTTTGATTTCATCCACAGCCTTCCAAGCATTAATCATAGCACAAATTGGTTGTTGTTTAGAGATTTTGAAATTGTATTTCTGATTCCTAATTTCACTTTATTTATCTAAATGGTGAAAATGGTAGCACAGATCGTAGTGGAACACCACTTCCTGGTCATCATGTGCCATGTCATTTTATGCAACTGAGCAGGAATTGATCCCTCTCTTACTAACTGCCATTGGCATACGTTAGAAGTATTTACAAGGTGATAGTTGACCACCTGTCATACAGGATAACAACTCAAGTACCGTAAATATCATGCCAGATACCAACTACACATCCATGACAAATGATGTGCATCTGTCCTTGATGGAAAGAAGCACACCTAGAGTGAAGCTACACATCACATTGCAACAACTGGCAAAAGACTAGATCCAATCTTATCATATTTCCACCAAAGCATTACCTTAATGTATAGAAATAACATAAAAGGATTCATAAAGATATATTGTCACAAAAGGATTCTTTAAAGGGAAAAGATGGATGTTGTATTACTGTGTAAGTTCTAGACCAGACAGACATTTCACACAGTTAGATGACATCACTGCATGACTTTCCAGTATAAAGGTCTTCACAGAGAGTCTTTCCATGTTCTTCAAGATGCTGCTTCTCACTCATCCTGTGAGTACCTAATTATGTAACGCTTCTCAGAATTTGCTTTATTTTGTCAGTATCACTTGCTATGTGTTTTTGGCTCATGTTCAAAAGGGATTGGAGCACAAGTCTGGAATAAGAGATTTTAAAATCACTTCTCTGACTCATGCTCTCCCACTGACTTAAAATGGCTCCTCACTTGTATGCCATAAAAGCAGTCTCCTAGCAACTTTTGTAAGTCCTGTACTGTACAGGAGCTTTTTACTGCAGAAAACTCTGTACATTAGAAGTAATTCAAGGAGTCCAGAGATCATCCTGGAAGAAAATTCTTTAAAAAAATCTTTCACAGGTATTTACAGTCTTCTATAAACAAAGTTCTCTCAACCACAGGATAGTGATGCAAATCAAATGGCCCAATGAGACACACTGTAAACAAAGTGTGGGCCTGTTGTTTGTGACACATGGATGTGTGCTCACAAATCCAGATACTCTAGAGCATACAGCATGACGAATATTAAAACCCCTGCAAAATTAAAGCAAGGACTGTGATTTTAACTGGGGAAACAGACAAAAAAGAAAAAGGACATTAAAGCAAAACAGTGTTAATCATGGCAATGTTGAATGTGGAGTACCCGTGGTTTTCTGATGATGCTGAACAGGCTTGACTGTAAACACAGAAAACTTCCACCATTTATTTATTTTCACAGTGATACCACCTTGATCAGTTTTCAATGAACCCACATAGCACCTGACCATTTTCGTTTCGCTAATATAATTTTGTGGAATTTTGTCTTGATTTTGAAATCCCTTGCAAGTTTCTTTTTGGCGTACTTTTGTAGCCCACATACTTTCCTGTTATTAGTCTGTCTCTCATCCATTGGGATCTGTGCCATTTCTTTTCAAATTCCATTTCAACAATATCTTTTGCTTCCTTATTCCCATTTTTTATTTAGTTTAATTCCTATGATGTTATTTTTATACATTTGTAAATTATACTTTGACTTAATTCATAGTAATTAAGTTTTTTTTCTGATTTTAAAAGTTTGCTTTATTTGCAGTAAAGGGGGTGTTGTATAACAGTTGCAGTACAGGTTCAGCAGCTGATGTCTCTGCTGAATAACATCATACCAATGTTTACCACAGTTGGTTTTATTGCCGCTAGTCATTTTTTAAGCCGCTCCTGATCTTTTCAAATTGCAAATGAAATATATGTTTGCTATTATTAACTCAAAATTCGGTGAGGCTAACAGCACTATCCATTATTATGGAGTAAATCAAGATCAACAGCAGGTGTTCACACATGCATTTAAACATGGAAATCCATCAGTTGCTGTCAGATACCTTTGCTCCATCATTTGGTTTATTGTTGCAGTGCTTATCAATGGAAACAATGTTGAATATTATGATATGGCATGATTTTGGGATCTTTAACTACTAATTCCTTGCCAATTCTTGTAGAGAAACTGAGGATTAGTGTATTTAGAAGGAAGTGATATTTTTAAACCATATGCTAATTGATAATTGTTGTCAACTGACCTCTCTGGCCTGAAAAAGATGAGGTTGACGTTTCATTCCTTTGAAAGTAATTAGTTTTTGAGATTTCTTATCAAAACAAGAGTACTTTTTCAGTCTGTTTTATTTCTCTTTATGTCCCCCATTTTCTTTAATCCTTTCCAATTTTGGTATGATACTTTCAATTTCTCATTTATATTTCCAGTTTCATACTTCACAATGTATTGTCTCCAGCTGCCAAATTCAATTACCTTTGCTGGCAAAGTTTGCTGCCTGGTAATTTAATGGTTTGCAGCCAGTGATGAGTGCACTGTTGAGTAACTACTTGTACAAAATTTTGTAGCATGATAGATCAAGCTTATCAGCACCACTTAATTCAGTTGGCTGCTCTGGGGAGTGAACTTCATTTAGAGCCAGTGTTATGCAAATCATATGAGTGATTTTAACATGGGTAAGACACAATGTGGCAAACAATACATTTCTTACATTCTGATACGAAAAGAGACTTGGTAAGATATTGCACTGGAGATCTTAATGCAGAAAGTGGAGAGGACAAATGTCATCTATTTACAAGGAACAAGGAATCCCTCCAGACAAATCTTGTGAAGGCAATGTGATCTGGTAGCCATTGCAGTCAATGTCAGAAATCTAACCTCAAGGACCTGGACAGAGTTCTGCAAGAAGTTCCATGACCTCTCACAAGTAGTTAAGGTCAGAGAATGGATCTTCACTTTCCATGTACCACCAACTGCACCACTAGCTTCACACACTGTTCAATTCATCCCAATCACTCAACTACCAATATCCTCTATCAATCATGAGTCATACTTAACATTTATAAGTTCATCTCACCCTCACCTGAGGACATCCCCATTTCATCAGCACATCACCCAAACATATTTCATCACACTTGCCTCTCATTGCCATCTTACATGTAGAACAAGTTGGCACATTACCAGAAGTAACAAGACTAACCAGCAGTTTACAGATGTGGCTGGATGTTCTCACCCTCTGCAGTTGATGGTGTAGGCCTGTATTGTAAGATATGACTAACACTGTGGCTTGTACCAGAGTTAAAACCGTCCAAATGACAACAGTTGAGAAGTGAGGGGGGTGGCACTAGCATTTGTGACTGATAACATTTAAAGAGAAATTCAAAGATCCAGTAATCAACTGAAACAAAATTACACAAATACCATGGCTTGAAACAAATAAACTCGGCCATACAAGAAACAAATACTTATCAAATAAGCATTAGGTTTAGGTGAATTAAGATTTATATTTTACATCAAAAAGAATTAAAATCTCATATAATTTAGAGTAAAATTCTTTGTTGGGCCTTTCCTGTTCCTTGTGACTTTCTTACTTTTCGGCTTTCAAAGGATCTTTCACATCCTGGGATTAAATCAATGTGCCAAAGCTTTCAGGATTTTTTTAAATTTCAAAAATATATTCTATACATAAAAATATCTCCACATGGTCACTAAAGCAGTTTGTTTCTTCATATGCTACTGTACAGGACCAAACAAACATTGGAGTTTTATTCTATCCAACAAACAAACCAAAGGCATTTCTTACTTGTATAAGACTATATTTACATACATTTGAGGGACCAGAAGGGTCCTATAACTGAATGGACCCCCATTGAACTTCAGCCAAAAGAGTTTATATGGTGGCCTTTCCCCATTTGACATTGGCGGGAGCTGTCACATGCTTTGGTGGGTCCCTCAGCACATAGTCCTGGACCTTGGAATCTGCTAGTCTACAACACTTGGTTAAGATCAACTTCTTGCTCTGGAAGACCAGCAATTTTTGGGCAGAACAAAAAGCATTTTTCAGAGTTGATGGTCCTCCAGGCACAGTCAATGTTTGTCTCAGATTGACAATCTCTGCACCACCATCCCCCCCCCAATCCCCACATGCTGCTTGGATGGCAGCACATGATGGCACACAGGGTTTGGGCATACATGAAGGATCTCACAGGTAGTGCCCTTCTCTCCATCAGTCAAGCGATGTCGTGGTGCTTGTTGGAATGTTCTGGCAATGAGGCATTCTGCCAAATGACTTTGATAGTCTGCTCAGGGAACAACTCAACAGGATCAACCCTCACATTTTCCTCCAGGGTCTCGAGGACACTAGGTGCTGACCAGTTCCTGGTGGACTTGTGGTCAAAGATGTTCTTCTTTGCAAATTTATTCACGAAGCTCAGTTGATATAGAACGATCCAACTACTTGGAGTGTTCTGCAGCAACAAGGCTAGACCCATCCTTTGCAAAACTGGGGACAGGTAGAACCTCACTAAGCAATGATACTTAGTGTTTGCATACCAAGGATCTACATACAGCTTGATGCAGCCACACACAAAGATGAGGGCAGCGTTGGGTACTTTCTTCCTCTCCACCTTATCCAGAGTTTTGTCTATGGTGTCCCTGCAGACAGGTTCCATCTTGGACTTCCAGACAAAGTGAAAGTTAGCTCAGGTGACTGCAATGATGCAGGTTCTGGGAAATGGCCAGACCTGCATCATGTACAACAACAGAGAGAGCAGCTCACAGTTGACGGCCAGGTTTTTACCTGCAATGGAGAAGGAACAGTGCTGCAAAAAGTCCACTTTCTGCCTCACCTTGGCGATAATTTCCTCCCAGGTTTTGCGCATGCCTAGCCCCTCCAAACCATTTTCTGAGTGCCTTCAGGTAATCTGTCCAGACCATGAAGAGGATAAAGAATCAGTTGGTCCAGGAACCAAAGAACATGGGCTTGCTCTTATATTTTGGCAGAAGGGATAGGGAAAGGCAACATAGACTTAATCTTACAGTATTAAAGTGTATGCAGAGACAAAAAGACATTGGAGTTTCATGCTTTATGGACCTTTGACCAGTGACAGGATTGAGGAGGTAGTTTGCAAAGCATATGTAGTCAGAGCTTTACAAATCGAAATATTAAGTACAGAAGTGGGGAAGTTATCTGGGGCTTCTGTGTAGTGCACAGAGAATTGTGCCCAATTCTGGGCATCATAGTTTAGAAAGGATGTAAAGTTTCTTGAGCGAGTGCAGTTGTGATTTACTAAAATGTCTCTTGAGATGGGGGAATTTAGCTACAATGTTACATTGATGAAGCGGAGGTTGTTCTCGTTGGAGCAAAAGGAGTTTGGGGAGAGATCAAAGAGGTGTACAAGGTTCTCATCTGGAGCAGTCTGACAATGGTACAAATGTAGTATTGTTTATATATTCCATTAGTTTGTTCATCCAATTTTGTGTGTCAACATAGGTTGCATTATGCAGTAAGTACCTGCTTAACATTATTGAAGATTTCCGAGGAATGGCAGTCTTAGGCAGCTTGCTAATCCATTCCTTCTGTATGCAATGAAAGAGCTGCGTACCTCTGACAAAAGATACAGATCACGGCTCCTTCAGAAATGTGGAGCTATACTTTCATTCCAATAGGACTCTTGACTGTAACCCAGCAGCGTTTTTCAAAGCAGTTATGCTGTCATATTCTAAAATTAAAGATTCTTTGTGCAGTTGGGGGAGTGTCGTACAAGGCGACCAGTTAAAGGTAGAGTGTTTAGGGTAGATGGACAATTTTGAGTCCCAGGGTCCTAAAGCTGGTGGTACAAGAATTAAGTTAGGCACCAGTTGAATACTTTTTTAGGAGTTAGCCTGTATATTTAATAGTCAGATCTTTCATGGGTACATGTTAACAGAATGCTCCAGATTCTGTGAATAGATACTTTCAATGGGGTGGGGTGTAGGAGAATTACTGAAAAGAATCTTTAGTTTCTCAGGCAGTTCTTTCAGAGTCTGCTGTGATTGGAGATTCTGTAGAATCAACATGCGCATCGCCCATCAATGCTTCAGAAAGGATTATTTGGCAAAAGTCAATATATCCGATTAATGTTCAGAATTTCTATTTAACATTTGTCCATCATTGAATCTCCTGTTCTGTGTCCTGCTCGGTGTGTGCTGTTACCTTTTCTCCATTGCTTCTCCTTGCCTGCTTCCAGTCCTGCAACATTTTTGGGGTGCAAATTAATTTTAAACGTAAGACCTGTGTCAGTTAGAATCACAGACTGAGTTTGAAAGGACCAACCTACTGTTCACCGGTCCGGATTAATTACAAAAGAAAATTCAAAGTACAATTGATAAACCGGAATGCTCTCCAAAATTTATCAATCTACTTTAAATAACAATAATCACCACAATGACCTCTGATACCCAAAACAAAGTTCAATACAACTGTACAAATAAATAGACTTATTACATACTTTTAAACTACCATTTTAAAAACATAGCTACTTTCAAGGTTTTTGAGAAGATTTGTAGCTCGGGTTATTGATGCGGTTGTTGACTTGCTCACTGAACTGGTAAGTTTGTTTGCAAACATCTCATCACCATAGTAGGTAACATCAGCAGTGCAGCTCCAGTGAAGTGTCAGTGTTCTGTCCCACTTGCTATGTGTGTGTGTCTCGGTTTACTGTAGTGGGTGGCATCACTTCTGGATAAAATCACAAATGTTAATAAAACTGACTTCCTGGGTGCACTGGAATCGGTGTTACAGACTTCCCTTCCTGCATGTAAAAGTCGAATATATGGCCGATGGTGAGTTCCAGACACTTTTTAAAAACTAGTTTACCACAGTAGGACACCCTTCTGGACAACACCGCTTCCTTCACCGCCGCCCCCCCGCCACCCCACAAAAAAAGAACAAGCTCCTGTTCCCAGTCTACAATCCTACTTTTAAAGTCTCCAAGAGCCTCAATCTGCCCAGGCTGCTAATCTTCTATCCACTTCTGTCTCATTTGCTGTTGCTCGTCTCGCTGGTTTCTGTTCCTACTTTCTGCTCAGTCCAGAGTCTGTTCTTCAGTTGCTATTCTCTTGGCTCCTGTTCCAAATTTATAACTTAAGTCTTGGACTCCATCAGTTAGCAGCAGGTGGTCAATGCTGGTCATCCTGGGATTTAACTGCTATCTGCACCAACTAACTTCATCCAATAGAGGGATCATGGTCAATTTTAAAGAGCTGTATACAAATAATTCAAACATTTCATAATATATTGTGCTATAGATGGTATTTATCTTCTATTTAGTGATGTATTTTGTTTTACACAGTAGTTCAGCGAGAAGTGCACTATGCTGCTCATATATGTTGAGTGTTTCAATTTTTACATGGATTGTCCCCAAGCGAGAAACATATGAAGGATTAACTGGTTTTAACATCGGTTCCCACACAAAAAATGTCAATTGTTTAATTGAAATAACTTGCTATAAAATGTTCAGGAATGCAGCCACAATGTTTAAGTAAGGACTTACTATGTTACCCATTTGTGAATTAGCTGCATACTGAAACTATAAACCATATTACCAAAGGTTCTCTTGTTTGATAGCCATTATTTGATGTGTTCTGATGATTAAAATGCAGCTGACGGAGAGGATTAACATAAAACAAAGGCATTCTGTCTGCTGCCAGGATTTCAGGTATTGACCTCCCTGAATTCCTGCATATGGTCACACACCGGCTAATCTGACTGTCACTTGCAAGTAGATAAGAACAAGTTTATTTTTTGCCCTGCACTGTTTGTGAAATCAGACAAAGGATGTTCCTTTCAGATCTTGAAAGATTCCATTACAACCTATGAATGATCTGTTCCAAACTAAACTACAATCTTCTTTCCTTGCTAGTCACCAATAGAAATTTCATGCTTTATAATCGGTCTCATTAAAATGTGGACATGAACGACATTTTAATAAACTTATTACATAGTTGAAACTAGATAAGGCTTGCAATTGTTGGAAGTATGAGAGATTCCAAACTATCATGTGAATTATAGGCAAATTCACAGATGATTTGCATTATAGGTATCTTAAAGTTATTGTCGCTCATGTCCACATTTTAATAAGACATTGCTATTTTGTATTCTGTTAAAGGAACTATTTTAAAATGCTAATCATGCAATACTGATTATCTCAGTGAATTTAAGAGTAGATTAAGAAAGGTTAGCTGTCTCATTATAAATAATCAAGTTGTTGAAACATTGTGCCTGCACTCACTCAAAGCCAGTTTTGGGAAAATGGTTTATATCTTATTTAAATGCACCAGTGAACTGTGAGAAACATATCAATGTCCCATTGCAACTCACTGCTTGTAACTTTCTCATTACCAGCAGACAGGAGAAAAATAGTATGGCTTAATCTAGAATGGCAGATTACTCAATATTTTATGATTTTTTGGTACAACTTTGGGTTCAGTTATATTTTTTTCCTGTAGATACTTGATTGATAAGACTTTTGTTTACACCATAGCTGCATTCATTAATGACTGATGCTGTTGACACACTTGAAGGAAACAGGAATAATAGAGAATGTGTTTGGAACAAAGCTGAAAAGGTAACTGTTTCAAATTAGTGTTTTATGCAATTGGAACTAAACCAATGAAGTTATATTTAGATTTGAGCGAATTGCTTTGCAAACTATGCCGTTAAATGTGTTTTTTTCCAGTTTTTGCATAATTCAATTATTGCACCTTTTTTGAATTACCCAGGAGCTTGGGGACCTATATTACCCCATTGCACTCAGAACTTCTATCTCTAATAGTATAATTTGTTCTCATCCTTTGAAATTTGACAATTTTGCATTTATCCTGATGAAAATAAAAACTGTTTCCTGCCCATCATTTATACCTAGACTATAGTACTATATTGTTTTAATCACTTAGATTAACTGAATTCCTCAGTGTCCATAAGTTTTTTTTCCCACTAGCCACACTTGATAGGATAAATCTAGTTGAGGGCATAACTTACCCTGGCAATGAATTCCAGGTGGGTTCAAAAGCAAAAATAAAATCAAATAATAGTCAAAACTTTTACAAGCGATTTTAAATCATTTGTATACAATATTTTTCATTGGCATTCCAAAGAAAGGAATTACTTAAAAAATATTAATAGATGGTTGATTACAGGTTGGGCTAATTGAGGACCTTATCTACCAATTAGAAGATAATTTTCTGAAGTCAAAAGCCCTGAAAACAGCTCGAAAACAGAGAAGAGAAGTGAAGAAACTAAAAGGTCAGAAACTTGTTCTGTTGCCTGGTGACTTGAAGCCGTCCAGAGACTCAAAAGCTATAGGAAAGTCACCTACTCAGACTGATCGACAAGACAACAAAATCTCATCTTCAAATTAATAAAGCATCATCTAGGAACATTGATTCCCTTGCTTCAGTATTCGTTGTTGAGGCATTACTTTTCCATTGGAGCTTGAATAGTTGTATTGAAATGCTTCAAAACTTGAAGATAAAACTGGAATTGAAAGATTAATTTTTTTCAATGATTTTTTTTCTTCACATTACATAGCTTTGTCAGTGATCAATTTAAAATATATCGTCAAGAACAGACCACTAGATTTCATAGATGATTAATAATTAATACAGTTTGTTTATGTATAGTTTTCAATTTATTAATGTAGTGTGCAACTAAAAACTGCTATCTACAAAATACCGTAACAAATCATTTCACTTTTTGAAATTTTGAACCCACCTCTTTGGATATAACACCTCCATCAAAGGTGGGACTTGAACTCTCAACTTCTGGCCCAGAGATAGAGACACAGTCACACTGCCACAAGATCGTTTCCCTTCCATTTTTATGCTTTTTGAAATCGAAGTCTTAAGAAAAGTAAACTTGTAGAAAATGTGCATGTTATTATTTACTGAGACTCAAGTTACAACATAAACCAATCGTTTTACCCAGTTTTCATTCTTAGTCACCTCCCCTCCCAATAAGTACCAACATGCCCACCCACCCAATTCTAACAACCATTTAGACCTTTTACCTTCAAACTAAATCAGCCTGCTCTTATTTGAGTTTATATCTCAGTCACTAATCCTGATCTCAACTTTTGAAATATATGTCTCCCCCATTCACTTTGTCTCTCTTACATCTAGGACCTCTTGATATGTACTAACACTTAACTTCTACCTGCCCTCTTTTTTTTGATTGTACAGACATTAGAACTACAATGACCCAGAATTCTTTTAAATCAAATATGGTATTTCTGACCCACATAGGATTAAAAAAGTACCCACCTGCCTTCAGACACCTTCTACACTAAAAATTCCAGGGACCTCCTATTATAAAGCTGCTTAGGAATCCACAAATCTATCACAGGTAAATCTTTGTAAAAACCCCACTCCGTTTTGAAGCAGTGTGTCATGTTCTGAGATTTAAATGTCTAGCACAACCAGCTGTTTTGACAGCTCCTGTGAAAGTGAAGTATGAAAGGCAAGTGTGGGTTTAGAGTGGCAGTTGGTTGAGAGGGTGGGTGATGTTATTAGCATGCCAAATAAGTGAATGAGAGCTCAAGGTGGGTCATGGTCTGGTCAAGGGTCACTGGGGTGATCAGTGGTAAGTTGGGAAGTCAGTTTAATAGTTACCTAAGGGTTTTTAGAAAAAGGTTTTCTCTGGCTAGCTATTAAGCTTGTGTGAGTTGGACCCCTCCAAATTAATTATGAAACTTTGACGGACGACTTTGGAGGACTCCAGGTGCAGAGGAACTGCCCACGGAAGAATTCAAATTTCCGTGGAAATTCTGAGTTAGCTGCATCTGGGATTTTGCAACTCAAAGTCTATGCTACTAATGACTCTCGAATCACTCTTAATTATAATCTGCATTATTCCTTTTATTTGTATTTCCTTACACCAAGCAACATTCTTGTGAAACTGCACAGTTTTGCTTTTGCCAATATTAATACTATTTCAAGAGCATGGAAATGCACACCGCATTGTAACGGATTGTAACAAAGGTTTTAGATAGGGTCCTAAATATCTCGATTACAGTTCCTCTAGGAAGGCTGCTATTGAAAAAAGTAGAAAGGAGTGGAAATATTTTATAATGCATATATAATTTCCTGGTCATAAAAGGACTGTCATTTGACCACAGCCTGAATGTTAACATTGAGGTCACACCAGATCTATTTTGTGACCTCTTATTTAAAGTACACAGTCATAAAAATGATCAAGAGCAAGCATAGCACAGTGGTTACATTCCGAGATGGCAGCTTAGTGAGGTACTTCCTCCTGTGTTTAAAGGGACTCATTCAAAGATATAGTGGCAATCTCCTGCCACAATATATTATCTTCACATTAAAGACCAAAGACAGCATCCATTCTTGCTCAGAATAACCAAGTAGACCAAAATCTCTCAGAAGCAAATTACCATGGAAGTTGAAATTTTGAAACATGCAATAAATGCTTGAGAAACTCCAGTTTGACAGCATCTGTGGAGAGAAAAACACAGTGAACATGCAGTGTGATATGACTTCTTCAGAAAAGATCTGAAAGAGAGTCACATTAGAGTTCAAATGATGACTTTTCCTTTCTCGACAGATGCTTTTGCGTTTTCTTGTTTGGCAATTATAATTTTCATATTCCATACACAGAGGTTGGTATATTCTGCTTGTCCTTTGCCATTTGTTCAACATCCTGAAAAAAAGTGCTGTAAATTTTTAATGCAAAATTAAACAACCCAAACCTGTACTTCTACATAGGTTTTCCAAAATTGAAAAGCTAAAATCAGGAAAATGTCTACGAATTTCTTAGTGCTTTAGCAATAACTCACCATATAAGCTATTTCTTTAAAAAAGTTTATTTGCATCAAGGATCAGTTTATATGAAATTACACCAAGTAAACTTTATATACAAAAATTAAAATGTCCTTCACTTAGCAGCTCAGATTATTTTGCAGATTAGATAATCCGTAAAGTAATAACCCATTATATGAAATGCAAAAACAGACAAGAATATTTTTCTTCAAGGAAAAGTGTCAGTACAAGAGTATTACAAAACTAAAGTGATTCATCAGATATGCAGATAGATATCCAGTTATCAAAACATTCAAAGTATAGAAATATCAAATATACAAAAAAAAAAATTCTACCAAAGAAATCAATGTTTAACACATGCAAAATGAAGTTCTATAAAATGTTGCTAATTTTAATGAGGTGCACCTAGAAAAATGTTATTGTCTTAGAACTGTACTTTGACATTGACTAAATAATTTACTTTAATACATTTTATATAATTAGAATCATAATCAGAACCTCCTTTTAACCTCCATCTTTTTTAAAAATAATTTTGGGAAAAGCTGAAGGATGCCCCCTGCAGTAAATTAAGGCAACAACCCATTAATGTTGGCCAGAAGACTACCTTGTTAAATTTCCCTTCTAATAAAATTTGAAATATTTTAAATTGAGAAAAACTGAACCAAACATCTTGGAGGTATTAAGTAATTTGCACATTAGGATTGCTAAATTTTAATTTTTTGAGGGTTAAATAAAGATACTGTCTTTCCCATCGTGAGTTTATGGATTTCAATGAATTACCTAGCAGCAACAGACTTTGAGGCAATTTAACCAAATCCACACATTGGGAAATTTCCAGGATCAAGTTCAACTCTCATTTTACAGCCTGTTCAACTTTATTCTTTCAAAGTCAATTAAGTATATCAGGCTAGTGTAAAACCAGCGTTCCACTGAACCCGCTCCCTTATTTGAGCGAAGAGTTAGGCTAAAATGGTCCCCAGAAAGTTGATTATGTCAGTTTAATCAATGCATTAAATGATACACAAACATGTTTGAATAAAAAGGCTACAGAAGCAGTGTAATAAATAAACTTGTACAAAAATGTACAAACTGAAGCAAGAAAAACAGCAATCAAAATTTCTTCAATTACAATGTTCAACCAGGTAGAGAATAGTATTGTAAAGTTGGAACAAGGTTAAATGAAAAAAATCCACAGTACAGTTAGCATTATCCTTTCCTTAAAATTATGCATGCTTCAAATACAATTCCATTTGATATCATTCAAACTTTTACAATGATTGCAACTGATCAAAAATATTATTTTACACATTTAGCGAAGGTGCAGGTGCTATATCAAATGAGTTGTTGATCGACTGAAAGTGTGGTATTTTTTCTCAAACATCGCTGGTAGACTCACCAATGAAGGCGATTGTACTCCCTGTGTAAAACAAAAGGATCAGTTTTTTGAGACATTGTAAAAATATACACTGACTTGCATAATTAATATTTGTTCTATCCCAAGGAAGCAATTCAAACTCAAGTAAAGTCGCAAATCAAGATGCAAACAGATTTCCTAAGAACCACAGATTTGCTTAACACGAGAATTAAACACATTCCCTTCCATCTTCATTTTTTTGCACCCAACATTTTCAAGCAGAGTTCAAATTTTAATCTTGGTCAAATGTAGAGTAAGACTTGTTTCATTGTGATTCAATGTAACACCTCAAATAAGAGAATTCACAATGGTACAGTGCCATTTGCTCATAAACACCAAACCCTCAATTAGTTGAAGTCTGTTTCATTTGGTGATTCAGTTTTTCTTCCCTGAAAAAAAATCTATATTTCCTACTTATCCATTTAAACTCATATCGTCTTGTCCTACAAAAATAATTCACTTTAATGACTGACAGCCAATCAAAACCATCCAGTGCTTTATTGTTTTATGGTACATCAAATTGAAATGCTTACATTTCTGTTTTTCCTTTATTTAATCTTCAGAGACAAGGAAGCACTTTGGTAGCTCTTTAAGTCACATATGACTCTACTTCGGAACTCAGCTCCAAGGAACAGTTATGTTGAATGCAGAGCATCAACTGTTTCTTTTCCCCAGATGCTGTCAGACCTGTGTAGTCTTCCAGTTTTTCACTTTTACTTGAAATTTCAAGCATCTCCATTAGCTTCACTTTAATTAGAGCAGTTTCACGTCTGACGAGATGTTGTTGTAGTTATTTAACCAGGGCATTGCACACTTTGAACATGGGATACTTCAGTGTATATTTCACCGTTTTAACCATCTGGATCAACATTCTCTTTGCATTGATTACTGCTCTGCTGTGGTAGCACCCCATATTATGATATGGCCAAAATAGTTGATTATCAACTTTAAATGCTTTCAATACTCAAAGCAGGCAGCAAAAGCATGAGGGTTTCCTGATCATCCAAAATGATGCAGTAGCTGCCACACAACAGGCTCCAAATGCTATAAAGGATTTCCTATGCAGGTTCTTGCTAGGAGCAAACAACATCTGCATCCCAAGGTACTACCACTAGGACTGAGGCAAGGAGAAGTTTTCACCCAGAGAATGGTGAGCCTGTGGAATTCTCTGCCATGGGAAGGAGTTGAGGCTAAAACATTAAATGTTTTCAAGGAGTTAGATATAATTCTTAGGGCTGAAGGGGTCAATGGGTTTGGGAAGAATGTGGAACAAGGTAGAGTTGGATGATCAGCCAAAATCATATTGAATGGCAAAGCAGGCTAAAAAAAAAGTCAAATGAACTACTACTGTTCCTATTTTCAATGTTTCTATCACAAACAGTATAGAATAATCTACCAAACCCCAAATCTCTGTGGCTATTTAGATACAGTTAAACAGACTATGTTACATTCATGTTCCTTTTCTAAAGGGAATGGAAATTCATAATTTTTTGATATGCTCGGCTTCTGTAGTACAACTACTATAGAAAGTATTTAATTATATACAACTACACTACTCTTCTATGCAGGCCCCAAATCCTTTCATAAAAATTAATAGCAGCCTCGTCCAACTAATTTAGCTGCTGGTTTTATTACAAGGTTTCCAGTATTTACAAAAAAGGGCAAAATACAAACCAGACTTTAAATTGTTAAAATATGCTTTGTAGACAGCAATAAAACAATCAAGAGTAGCAATAACATTTCACAGAAAGATTTTTTTTTAAATTAAAAGGAGTGGGAAAAATGTTTGCAGCTGCTGCATAAAACTAAGACAAGTTTAAAAAAAAACAACCTTTGTGCAAATGAACTTTTGCCCAGCTTCTTTACAAACTACCTATCTGAGAATATCAAAATCCCAGACATGCTGGTTGAAGTCAGATTGACAAGTATTTTCATGGAATTAAATTCCATGTTTCACCAGACATAGGCAAGCCAAATTAGCATTGCTAACAAATCCAAGTTAAATCAGATAGAAATAACTGCCAGAAATTGAAAGAAAGGCAGTATCAAGAGCAAACAATTAGCACTTAGATTCTCATTATTAAATCTAAGCAGCTTGGATGTAGCACCATGAGCATGAATTCAGTTACGGAATGAAATGGAAATAATTTAAAATTAAAGCAAACATACTCTTAATGATCTAAGAGCCATATATTATCAAAGAATGCTATTGGAAATTATTGGACCCGTTTAAAAATACATTAAAAATATCCAGGATGGGACTTCAAGTTTACAACACACATTTTACTTTTAAAAACCGACAGTATTTCAACAAAGGTTTTTGCTTAAGCTATATTGTACACAATGTACCATTTTAATATTCTAAAACATTCAAATCACCTCCATGGAAAAAAAGCAATTGATTGCAGTTCTATGAACCAGAGATCAAAAATTTGAATGCAAATTATATCCCCACCCAAATTAATAAAGTTTAAAAAATAAAGTTTAAAGTAGCTTAAATGAAAAGAGGTTAGTATTACAGGAAGTTTCCTTTGCCCAATGGCGTATTAGACCCAGAACAAAATCTCACACCAAGACAATAAATACAGAACCAAAGGAAAAACAAGTGTGGTATTGATACAGCTTCCAGTTTACTTCAAACAACTTCATAAATTACAATATGTGGTCAAAAAAAAGTCACCACCAACATTAATGCCAGAGTTGTCCAAAGAATTGGGTGAGTTTTAGCAGTTAATAGAAGCATGAATGCCACAGTATGACTCACTGTTGATAAGATGGGTAGAGGGTGAACGAAGAATGTTTCTGGGTCTGACACCAATTGGTGCACAGTCCAGAGAATTAGAACGCTGCACAGTTACACAGTTTGCTGACATCACTGAACCATTCAGACCACGGGTGGATGAAGAACGGGAAATCTAGATATGGGAAGACCATTAAGTTATGGCAAGCAGGTAAAATTGGACAGAAATTGAATATTGACTGAAGAAAACTAGATTTCAAAGGGGAAAGCAAGAGTAGGAAATATGCACTTTGCAACATGAAATATCGTACTTTATACTTAAAAAGGATAAAGTAGAATTGGCTAATTACCACAGTATTTTGAGAGATCATGATTCCTTATTACCAGCAATAACAACTGTGGACTGAGTACATGGTAGACTGGTTAATAAACATGGGATTCAGTTTGCATGAGAATATAGCAGGGACGGTTATTAAGTTGGCAGATAACTTTGTGGTATAGCGAACAGTGAAGGAGGTTATCCAAGATTACAACGGGATCTTGATCAACTGGGCCAGAGGGTTGAGGAATGGCAGATGGCGCTTAATTTAGATAAGTGCAAGGTGTTCTATTTTGGTACAACAAACCAGGGCAGGACTTACAGTTTATGGTAGGGCCCTAGGCGGTGTTGTCAAACAGAGATACCTTGGGGTGCAGGTACATAGTTCTTTGAAAACGGCATCGCAGAAGGGTGTTGAAAGCGGCGTTTGGCATACTTGGCTTCCTCGGTCCATCGAGTAGGCCGCACTGCGTGTAATTTTGGTTGCTATGATATAGGAGGATGTTATTAAACTGGAAAGATCGCAAAACCGATTAACAAGGACGTTACAGAGACTGAAAGGTTCGAGTTATAAAGGAGAGGCATGCAAAAAATGGGACATTTTTTCCTTGAGCAGAAGGAGTTTGAGGAGTGACCTTATTCAGGTTTATAAAATCACGAGAGGCATAGATAAAGTGAATAGCAGAGGACTTTTCCACGGCGGGTGGGGGAGTCCAAATCTAGAGGGCGTAGGTTTAAGGTGAGAGAGGAAAGATTTAAAAAGGACTTGAGGAGGCAACTTTATCCACAAGAGGACGTTGCATATATGGAATGAGCTGCCTGAGGACGTGATAGAGATGGGTACAATTACAACATTTAAAAGACTCCTGGACAGGTACATCGATAGGAACGATTCAGAGGGATATGGCCAAGCGTAGGTAAATGTACCAAGTTCAGTTTCGGAAACCTGGTCGGCATGGACAAATAGGGCCAAAAGGCCTGTTTCCATGCTGTTTGACTATGACTGTACAATGCAATTCAACACAACAGCTGGGAATCATACAACCAAGGCATTTGAAGTTGATGGACTAAAGAAAAAGGCAACTATTGGCACTGAGACATACAACAAGATTAACTGAAGTCAGGGTTAAAGCAAAGGCTCATGATTCAGTAAGAGTCAAGATTAAAACAATTTTTAAAAAAAACTTAATAACTTGACCTACTGAGAATAATTTTTTAGGGAAGAATAAGAAAAAAAGATCAAAATCAAGACAGTCAGAAAAATACTAAAATTTGACCAATTACTGATTTTTTCTAAAAAACACAAAAGTCATCAGAAGGAAAATTACTTTTGGGTTTTGGGTCAGTATTTCCATGCACTTCAAGTGCAAATCCTTGAAATGGGGTGTGTGTGTGAGGGAGAGAGGAGAGAGAGAGAGAGAGAGTTAATTTACAATATTGCAATTTGGAGATTGGCAATTTTATTTGTAAAGGAAAATACTAGAATTGTTCAAGCGAGGAATAAATTGAGACAGCTTGGCTGAGTCACTAATTAGCAGGAATTGAATGGCAAATTCTATTGTTATTGCAATGTTGGCTCAGACTCAAAACGTACTTAGGGACCGAATTTGAGTTTTAGCCTGACGTTTTTCTGGAAAGATCTGAAGTGGCTTTAACAAATTTAAATAAAAACCGAAAGAACTGCGGATGCTGTAAATCAGGAAGAAAAAAACAAAGTTGTTGGAAAAGCTCAGCAGGTCTGGCAGCATCTGAGAAGAAAAAAAATCACAGTTAACGTTTCGGTTCCAGTGACCCTTCTGCAGAACTGTGGAAGGTTCACCGGACCCGAAACGTTAACTCTGACTTTTTCTTCACAGATGCTGCCAGACCTGCTGAGCTTTTCCAGCAACTTTGTTTTTGTTCACAAATTTAAGTTTTAATCTTACTTTCTTTTGAAGTCCCAGC